GGGTGAAGATGGAAATGAAAGCCTAAAACAACGAAGGAGAGGGATTTGTGCTTACCGAAATTGGCCCGGAGCCTTAAATCCCGAGTTGCAGCACTCGGTTGCCCTTCTGTATCGCGTGACTGCTACAGTAGGGTAGCGTTTTCTTATGTGGGAGTTCCAGACGACGTGATCGAACAGGGAGAGGGAGATCAAGAGAGAGGAAGAAGGAATTGGGAGACGAAGAAGCAAATGCGAAGCTCGGGACTCCCTTCGACCGATTGAATGAAATAAAAGAGTGTATGTCGGTGGGCTACACTGCTGAGAGGATTAAGGTAGGATTTATAAGGATTAATTAAGGATTTATTAATTTAATAAACTTATACTTATAATATTTTATAACTCCCAATCCATTCACAATTTACACATAGTGCTTCGTATTGATTTGATCGATTTCAAGCATATAATTTAATAAAATAATTTCGATCAAATTTCGAGAGATGAAAATTTTTTAGGTTACTTTTAGAATTTATCGAACTTATCCGATTTCTCAAAATTTGGGCGTTGCATAGTCGACTCCACTTAGTGGGATTAAAGGCTTGTTGTTTTTGCTGTAGTTTGGAACAACAATTTTAGTAAAGAAAATTAACATAAAATATAATATTTTTTTCGCTACCTATTTTTATTAGCTTATCTTCTTCTATTAATATATTATTCTTGCCGGTCATTTTACCCGAAAAATTTTTTTTATTAATAAACAGTAAACAACATATTAAGTTGTGCAACAATTTGGTGAATAATTATAATTCTACTATATATTAATTTTTTTTTGTACATTCATTAACTTATATGCAGTTCAAAAATGATAAAATATTAAAATTTTTAAATATTTTTATTTCTTTTAAAAAATCTTCTCAGGAGTAATGCCTAAAATACTAATTAAGGTACATTTTTTTTGTCATTTTTATTTTTTCAAGCCTTTTTCATTTTTATTTTTGTTTTAAGGGTAGACTAGCATACCCAGTTAGTACCTAAGAATGTAACTTCTGTGATTGAGTTAATATTTTTTTTTGATTTTCATTTAGTTTGTTTTCATCATTCAACTATATGTTATACTTTTAGTATGAATTCAATATATGAAATTTTTTTGAAAAGTTAAATATTCACATATAATTTTGTCCATACTGTTATGGTCTAATCCATGCAAACATATGCATTTTAAAAATAAGGGAGCTGAGTTTTGTGCATATAGAAAAATAATTACTTAACTATGTTTCACCTTATAAAGTTAGCCTATAATAAAATTTATTGACTTTCCCTTCCTTTAACTTGCTTCTTCACTTTGATCTTGGTTTAATTTAACATTAAACATGATGTTTAGCTCATAATTACTATACAATGATTAAATAATTTACGTAGACATTTATGTTTCCTTCAATTCATCTATTCTCTTAAAACTTATTTTAAGAACTTAATCATACATGATCTTTAACACACTTAATGATATAGTTTTCATAACTCAATTATTTTGCAAAATCTTCTATGAGCTTTTCACCGTTTTCTCCACAACTTCAAATATTATGCCTTGTCAGTTTCACCTTAGATTTTCTTGTTTCCTTTTCTCAACCAACGATAACTACCAAACGTTTAATTTCCGATCATCTCTACCAAATCTAATATTGTCTTCAAATCAAAATTCTAATTTTTTTTCCAATTATAAGTTAATCTAAGATTTAATTATTTGTGCCAATACAAAATAAAGAAATAGAAACTTAAATCGATTCATTTCTTTCTTCTTACAAAATCAACAATCCTCTTAAAAATTTATATTCATAAATTCTTTAAATTTCAAATCTCTGACATTGTTTCATAAAATCTTTTATTAATCAATAATAAAGATTAAAATAAAAAAATATATTTTTTAATAAAATTAAAATAAACCTTAACCTAAAAATTTTAGTTTTTCTTTCTTCAACGTCCACGCCGCTCGTTTGATGCACATGTCACCTACTTCACGTGTATTTGCTGGTTTCGTCTCCTTCACACATAAGGCACTAGTCTTCTACACGAGTGACATCTCAATCTCTTGTTCACAGCTCTGCTTCTCAATGCAAAGTGCACTCGACACTGCATGTTCATCTTCTTTTTAGTTGGCTTCGACTCATGGGTGCATTATTCCAATCAGCGTCACTCTCCCTGTTGACTGTCTCTTGCATTCAATGCTGATTTCTTGATCAATTCCTCTTCACTCTTGCCTCTATTTTGTTGGGACTTTGTTTCACTGGCTTTGCTCCAAAAGTTATGTTAGACACTTGTGCTGCTTCTGTCTCCTATTAGTAGAACTATCTCATTGGTTTCGTCAAACCCACACGATCGGTTCATTTTTTTTTTACTAAATTTAACACTTTCAAAGGAAACTTGTCCCCTTGTACCAATGTGAGTCGTAGACCTTATGATGTTCTTCATTTTGTTAGATTATAGATAATTTTAATTTTATATGATCATCGAAGGTGGTATTCATTCTATCCATAAGAACTATTTTTTAGGTATTTGAACTTCGTCACCATCATCTGCCTCATCCAAGTTATTTAGGACTGCTTTTATGATTCTTCATTTTCCATTAGTTCTTGTCTAGTGTTCCTTACATGTTAAATCTCTTCTCATAAACCTTATTCCTTAACTTCTATCGATCTACCATTTACTCCCATTTTTCTGTCCTAATCAAGAAACTTCAGCGTTATCTACACATTTTAATAGAGCATCTTCTACTTTTAATGTACATTGTAAAAAACTTGAGCCTATTTTTTACAACCTTAATTATTTTCAATCGAAGCTATTCTATTTTCTTTCTTTTATTTTTTATTTTTGCCTCATGTAAACAATGCAATAAGTGACTCATTTTCAATAGATTTTAAAGAATTTACTAATTTTTAGCCCTTTTGGTTATAAATAGATCCATGAGGCTAATGTTTTAAAATGAATTATTGATTATAATTTTTTTCCCCTTTCAAACGTAATTGAATGCTATTGGATTTGGAATTTTTAAGCATTTTCAAGTATTGATGATTACTTTTGAGGGAAAGTTGTCTTCTTGTACTGGCGTGAGTCCTAAACCTTAATACAGCCTACATCATGTTAGTTTAAAGATAATTATAAATATTATGATCTTCATAGGAGATATTCATTCTGTTTGCAAGAACTATTTTTTGGTATTCCAACTTCATCATCATCATCATCATTGTTGATCTTATCCCAATTATTTTGGATTGGTTTTATGAATCCACATTCTCCATTTATTCTTGCTAAGTGTTTCTTGACATGTTAAGACTCTTTTTGTAAATCTTGTCCCTCGATTTCTATCAATCTACCTTTTCATCCCACTTTTCCTTCCTAATCACACAACATGAATTTTATCTACATGCCTAGAGCATCTTCAAATCTTCTTGTATATGATAATTCACCTAAGCTTATTTTAATGACCTTATCTAATTATTTTCAATAGGTGCTATTTTTTTATTCTTTTTTGCATCTACCAAAATTTTGCTATCAATGACTTCTTTATCATAAAATACTTGGATCCATTCAGTACAGGTAATCTAATTGTATTTCTTTACAAAACTAAAAATATTCTAACTTCCAAGAATTGATGTGGCTTTCTACCTTTAAGAATGAATTTTCTTTTTGAAACACTTAATTAATAGAATCACCATTTTCAGTTCATTTTTATTTCTTTGAATGGAGATTATATGCTGTATATGTTCCTTATTGTTGATGTCTTTGCATGAGCCTAATAAGGGTTTTATCTTTCTGTACAATCTTATAAATCTTAATTTTTTGTGGC